TGCCTGCAGCTCAGTTCTGGCTGCCTTCTCGCAGGAAAGCCGAGGCAGATGCAGGAGGCAGAAGTCCGGGGCTTCAACTGAAAGTGTAACCACCACTGGAGACGCAATGCGCTCAATGCAGAATGCATGTTCAACGCGGCATGTGACAACCCACGACTGTTCAGTGTTGCGACAGCTCTCGGAAGGGTGGTCTCAGCATGTGGCGGCGTAGCCGCGAGGCCTCAGCCCCTACACGCTGCCAAAGGCTGCTCAGGCGAGCGACCGAGCGGTGGGGGGACTGGGACTGCGAAGCGAGTGGCACGAGACAGTGCTGGAGACCAGCTGTGTTCACAGGTTGGACTGCTCAGGAGTTTAGCAGGTTGGCATTGCCCTTGGTTCGAGATCAATCCAATGTCACCCAGGACAGGTCGCAAGAAAGCTCAAGAAGTTGTTTCTTTCAGTGTGAGCTGAATCAGACTTACGCTTTAGAATAGACATAGTCTTACATAGAATGCCATCCTTCCCCCACAGGGTGGATTTGGGGATCCACGAGGACATAGAACAGAGGGTGACTCGGCTGGGAGCTTGCTGGAGGCTGAACATGCTTGACAGAGGCCAGACCAATATGTTTAAGCACAAGTTGTTGATGTTTAATGAAATGACAAAATTACTTGGCTCAGTGGATCGATCCATGAAGATCATGAGGTCAAAGCTAGCGGATTGAAACGGTCTAGGCAGTCCAAAACCGGCACTGCCTTCCCAGGCACCTCCACTCTGTGTCTGCCATTGTGGCAACCGGGTGAACCGTTTGGCGACTCAGGGCCGATGTCGGTGAGCCTTGCGGGACCTGCTCTTTGTCTGTTTTTGCCATGGACACCTCAGAAGCTGTAGAGATGGTCCCTATTCACCGTGTCGCCTTTCGGGTCGGACCTTGGAGAAGCTCGGGTCACGGTTGAACAGCGGGCTGCTTCATCAACGGCTTGTGAACAACTCCTTGTATCCACATCGGATGGTACCTCCCAGAGCATTTCAGGGTAGGGGCTGTCGTGAATGCAACCCATTGATCCCGTGCTTTGCAGCGCCGGATTGCCAAGGCTTCCGGCAGAGCGAGAGTGACGGGGTGGTGTACCCCAAGCCTCACAAGGTGCGGGCAGTCAGGGAATCGGCCGTGAGCAATGGAGGCGGTCCAACATGTTTCGAGTCAAGACGCAATTCCTCGAATGTTGTTTGCCGGAAACAATCATGAGAGTCGACAAGGGGCGATACAGGAAGGACCTGGTCCACAACAAAAAGGTCTTGCTGGCTGTCGCATTGGCTTGACAGAGTGTAATTGGTAGACCCTTTCAGAGATGTGGCGCAAGAACTGACTGGTCTCGCCAGCTCTGTCTCACATGCTACTTGCTTCAATCAATAGTTTGTTGGTGGGATTGCTTGCACTCAGCTGGGGCTCACACGTTTTCTCCAAAAGTTGTGCAACAGTGTTGGCCCAATTCTGACGTGTTCGGCGTGCTCAGCGGGCAAATGGGTGAACAACGAAACAGCACCATCAGCACGTGGGGAAGACACAAAGATGGGTTACATCCGGGACCGCCACCACGTGACCCGCCACTTGTCACAGGAATTCCACAACGTATGATCAAAGTTGTTGTGCTTTCCGAGCGCGAGGCCACAAGCTGAACTAAAGTGGCCATGCATAACCTATGGCTCCATTCTGGGGTGGATGAACATCCATTTGCCACCTATTTTGACGTTCGCCAGGGGTACAGGGTTTTGTTTCACAGCCAAGCGAGTCCCTGAAGGTCTGCCCTCTGGTCCGCTTGCCGAGGTGAAGCTGCCCTCCGTCACTGCCACAGCATCTGCCGAACCCCTGCGGCCGGCCATGCCCCCGCGCGGGCGCTCAGGATGTGTGACCGCAAAAGGACCTAAGCTGAACAATGGCATCTCAGATTTGCTTTGTAGAAATCAAGGGTTGCGTTGATCCTGGCGCATCCAGTTTTGGTACATCCTCACCAAGCTGCGGGCATGCCGCAGAATTTCCGTCCACGCACCTGATTGAATCAAGGAGGAGTCTACTTAGACACTTAGACCTGCCTAGTATGCGAGGTCTTTGGGGGCTGGGGCGGTCATCGTCGCCCGAAGATCCCCCGGACGCCCTGTCGCGCATGAGGCCTCCGCCAGCAGAGCTCCCAGCGCCCTGGATGCCGCAGGGCTTGGAGCCCGCCCTGCAGGATGTCGCATGTCGAATGATAGGCCCGGTGAGGCCCCTGGGAGCCCAATCTCTGGGGTTGACTTTGACCCGCTTTTCCTGACGTCTGTCGGCTCTTCTCGTATTTTTCCCGAAAGCATCGCGAAGGGTTCTTCCGTGCGGAGCCCTTGGACAAGTTGCACAGAGCCAAGTTGCACAGAGCCAAGTTGCACAGAGCCAAGTTGCACAGAGCCAAGTTGCACAGAGCCAAGTTGCACAGAGCCAAGTTGCACAGAGCCAAGTTGCACAGAGCCAAGTTGCACAGAGCCAAGTTGC